CAAATATATCAATATTCATCATTAATTTCATGATCCATTATATGAACACAAACCCTTAGATTTAGGATCTTTGAAATGCAGCAAGATTAGAAAGCAATATTAGTACCAAATGATAGCGTTTTTCGCTTAGTTCACTTTCCTATCTCACGATATAACTCCAATTCCAAAGGAATTAGCTCAAAAATTGAAAATAAAATATTTTTCTCGCCTTGAAGCTATCTCACGTTCTTGTTCCGAAGAAGATGAACATTTAGCATGATATTTTTTATTGATATCATGCTTATCATCCTTTACAAATATTATTTAAATCATTAACTTGCAAAATACCATTTTACCCTTAATAAAGCTTCATAATCACCAATAAACCAAGATACCTATCCTTATCATCATCAAAATCAGATAAATATCAGCCTTATCATCTTTCAATAGTCAAAGATGAACAAATTAGTTTTCAACTTTACCGTTTTGCCCTTAAAATTTCCAAAAATTGCAATTCAGTCACTTTAATCAAACAATTCAAATTAAACATAAAATTAAACCATTAAATATTATTTCCCAACATTTTAAAAATGTGAAAAATAATATTTTTATTACTTATTTTCGTGACCTACATGTAATTTTTTAAAATTACATTTTGGTCCTTAAACTTTTCAAAGTTTATAATTTGGTCACCAAACTTTACCAAATTTATAATTTGATCACTAAATGAATCCATTTATGGAAAAACATTATTTTTGGTAAAATCACCACTTAATTCCCTAAACTTTTCCCAATTTTCTACTTTGACCATCAAACTTTCAAAATTTGCATTTTGGTCATTATCTAAATTTTTTTGGGTATTACAAAGACATATCCGATGATATTTTTTGGTCTCGGACGATGACCAACAATGTCGACACGATGGTCATTGCTATCTATGGTGGCTAGTGACTGGCCATCGATGAGGCGTGGAGATCTCTAAAGAACATCTGCTGAGAAGAGAAATGAGGAGAGGGAAGAAGAAAGAAAGAAATGAGAGAAAATAAGGTGTTATATTTCTTGTCGAGAGTTGTATAACAAACACTGAAAAGGGTTAAGAAAGAGTTGAGTGATGAGCATACCTCTTTTCATGAACAAAAGAAGGATGTGTTCTAGTTAGTGAATACAATTGCCAAGGCAAAAGTGATAAAAGTGATATTATAAGTAGATTGAAAAGTTAGTACCTGAGTGATAAGATATGTATATGATTGAAATTTTTACGAAGTGATACATGATTCTTAAGATAAAGATATTGATCTAAATATTCTCCTATAGTTAGTATCTCAAGTGTAAAGTCAATTTGAAAGTTCTCCTTCAGCCACGTATCAAAATATCATAGTGTGCAACATAAGTAAACTATTCTTATAAACATAATCAAAGAAAGATTTTTTCTTAGATTTCATGAGAACCTTAGTCTGTTGATTGAGTCATTGAAAGTTGATGACTCATGAAAACAAGTCCAATAAGACATTCTTGTTATTTAATATTGATCATCCTATCCTAATTCCTATAAGTCAATAGTTCTTGATCGTACCATTGAGGCCAATTATTATGATAAACACCTACATAAACTTTGCAAAATCTGAAGCTCCGATGTAGTCTTGTTGATTGGATGGTTGACTCCATCAATGACGCCTGTATGTGCGTTTTAAATCTAGAGTCATTCGTTAGATTCTTTCATTGTTCAATGAATGTCCCAATTTTGATAATTTTCTACCCATGATTTTCAAATGATGACTGTCAATCAATTTACTATAAAGGCAAGTGGTAGTATTGAAATTTCAAAAATGTGAATTTGATTCATGTATGGGCCAATACTGTGATAATTTATATGTACTTCGAAAGATAAATTCTTCAAACCCAGATTTATGATAGTCTGGAACCTTGAAACTTTGATGTGAACTTGTCATGTGCATTATAAATACAGAGCGATCTTATAAATCTTTTAACTATTGTGCTACGTGAAACTCTTCTTGATTTTGATAATTTCATACCTGTAATTCTTATATGACGTTCTTATGTGAGTCGACACACCTTTTCATTGTTTCATTAATTGAATGTATTCTCAACTTGATAGATTCTTTGTTGTGATTTACAAAATGATGTTCCACAATCGATTTTTAATAAAGTTTAGTGACTGAATTTAATCCAGAAAGTATGTATCATATTGCGTTTTATCTTAACTCGATATATTTTAATTGAAACCTTTAAATCTTTTGTGAATTTGGTAAGAGATCAAAACTTAAATTTATATTTCGACCCCTTAACTAAAAATAAATTTAATATTTTCTATAGTTCTTAAAATAACAATTAAGGAAAAAGACTATAAAAATGGGGATTTGACTATCATGAGAAATCTGTTGCAAAAGCAATATTCTCATATCTGTAACGTCAATAATACTAGAGATGTATATAGAGGCATGGGTTTACTTATGGAAACAAAAATAAGTGAGCCCTTTAATTAACTGATATCATGGTTTACCAGCAAAGAAGTCAAGAAAAACTCATAAACGAGAACCGCAGGATTCAAACCAGCGCGGGCAGAGCCCACATGATTTCTAGTCATGCCCGATAACCACTCCGGCTCATCCACAGTTACCTGATCAAAGTCCTCATTTCTTAAACAGAATCAACTTTTCTGGAATTAGCTTTGCAGACTTGACCAAAATACTATATCTATGTAGTTTGGGAGAAATTCGAATTCATTTTGATCATTGTGCTCGAGTGGCTAGAGCTATTTAAGTATTTTTTGATCGTTGCAAATGTAAGATTAGAAGCCATTGTTTGGATACATTGGTTTTCAGTTACAACCATTTAAATGGAACCATTCCTCCTCAGCTTGGTAAGCTATGTTACACTGATACGGATACGGGGACGAGGACGAGAAATGATAATTTTTAAAATTACAGGGTACGTGGACATCAAGGGTATGTCATATAAAATAATTTTAAAATTATAAATATATATATAAAAAAATTATAAATAAAGTTAAATATCAAGACTCAAACCACAATATTAAGTTTAGAATAGTAAAATTCCTAAATTATTTCTCTGACCAAATTATAATTATTGTAAATTATATAACCTTTTCAGTAAACATATAATATTTGAGGACTATCTATGAGATTATTCCATTTTTATTATAATCACAAATCCCTACCTTTGTTCTAACATTAAGACGCGCCTCCCCTATTTCTTTTCCTTCTTCTTCCTTCTTCTTCCTTCGTTTCCCCTTCTTCCTCCATGAACGTATAAGGGTGACCTCAGTGAGATACACCATAGACTCAGACTTATACAAATCTGGCCGAGAGATGGAATAAAGAGGGCCCCAAGTTTTTAATTCACTTTGCTTGCATTTTTTTTTTCTATAAGCGGAGCGATTTGTCGAGTCTACGAAGCTTAGTAGTTGCCCCCTTTTGCCTCGCCATGCCACTAGACTCATAATGACCGACGGGCTTAGGTATCCATGGCACCCTATTTGAACTTATTAAAAAAGGGGCGTAGCTAAAGCAACAAATCCTTTAACAGAGGAATAATTCGTGGGATTCATAATTGCTATATCGTCTATTTTCTTCCCTAACACTCGTCCACAATCGTCGCTCCGCCACTGTTCTTACTGATCTAAGGTAAGTAGATCACCAGTCATCGTTCAAAATCTTCCATCCATCGACTGCCTCTCATCCGTCGCCGTCATGGGTCATGTTGTAGTCAAAATTACCTCCGGAAACGTCCCTTGACCGTCCCTCAATTCGGTCAGCCGTACCCTGTCACGTCCCAATACGTCTCCAGCTAGGGCTGTAAATGAGACGAGACAGATCGCGAGCTACTCGAGATCGACTCAATCAAGGCTAGATAAATACTCGGATCGAATGGACTCGACTCAAGCTCGAGCTCGACTCGAGTTCATAACGAGCCGAAACGAGCTACTCGATATTCGACTCAAAAAGCTCGTGAGCAGCTCGAAAAAATGTTATATTATAATTTTAGATTTTATAAAATTACATTATAAAAAATTTATTAAAAATACATTATTGATAATTATAAATTTTTTAAAAATATATTAAAAATTCTATAAAACAACTACCCTCAAATTTTAATTTTTTTAATTAAGCAACCCAAGTACAATTGTTACATTTTATATTACTAAAAGAAAAATAAAAGCCCATTTAATTAAGCACATGTTAGATTACACCATAAACCTAAATCTTAAATCCTAAACCCTAAACTCTAAACTCTAAACTCAAACCCCAAACCTCAAATCCTAAACACTAAACCCTAAATCCTAAACCCTAAACCTTTAATCCAATTATGTGATAGGGGTTAAGTTATGCACATGAAGGTAACATACACATTATGTAAAATGAAATTAATGAAATTAACAAGGGTTTATATGTAAATAAACTAATAAATCACACTTGGTCAAATCAATCAATAGGTTCTTATCAAAACAAACGGTGATCAAAATATAAAATAAAAATAAATTAACAACTCGAATCATAAAAACGTAAACCTTGATTAATGACGAAATCATAAGATTACAAATATAACAGGTCCTAAAATGCTAATACTCCATTTCTAAAACACGGGAATTTACGACATCCTTTAATCTGCAGTTCTTGGGGATCGACGAGGTTCTTGAGTTCCCTGGACAGATATTCCAAGTTGTCGAGTCGTTCCAGGCAAAGACTCGTTAAAGTCGAAGGAAGCATTACACCCTCGTATGGAAACGAAACAATATTTGTAGCAGGACATGTACCAACAACTTAGAGTTCTGTAAGAGAATTGAGTTTGTCCAGGCCGAATTATATGCAAGAGTTGAAAAGTTTCGTCATTTTTCATTCCTCCGTCACCCGTTTGACATTCTAAAAAGATTTGAAATTTTGTTTCAGATGAAAAGTTTAAGAACTTTCTTAGCATTACCAATTCAAACATTGCCTTTGGCAGCGAATTCCTATTTAAGTAACAAAGTCTTACAAGAGTTGATGCCAAGGTCAAGTCATTTAAGGGTTTTGTGTCTGAGTGGTTATTGCATTGATGAGCTACCTCATCAAATTGGTGGTTTGATTCGACTAAGGTACTTTAATTTATCTCACACCAGAATCAAATCATTGCCTGATTCTTTGGGTTCTCTTATCAACTTGCAGACATTGATATTGCATGGGTGCAAGAACCTTATTAAGCTTCCTCGAGCAATTGGGAACCTGCTTAATCTTCATGTTCTTGATCTTACTGATACCGTTAATTTGACTGAGATGCCTATGCATATCGGTAATCTGAAAAATCTACAGATTTTGTCCAAATTCGTTGTGCAGAAGGATGGGGGGCCTAACATTGGAGAATTGAAGGGCTTGTTGCATTTGCGAAAGGAGCTTTCTATTCGTGGACTTCAAAATGTGGTTGATACTCGAGATGCTAGGGAGTGCATTCTGAAAGATAAACAGGGCCTTGACAGCTTAGAGTTGCAATGGAGTCATCGTGGACATGGGACGAACGACAGACAGTGAAGAAACAGAAGCACCACCACCGCCATTTCCGCCGGAGTCAGATGTAAAAGGAGGAGGTGAAGAAGAAGAAGAAGGGGAGGGCCGAATAGGTAAAGGAAAAGAAGAAGAAACCAACTTCCCTAGCTTCTCTTGAAGACAAAAGGCACAGATTCCACGTGGGTTATTCCTATAAGGATGATTACTGCATTGCATTCCATCTCCCAAGTCGTCGTCTCCAACACCAACTCTTCCATCTCCTCATCCTTTGGATCCTTCCATCATGTGTTAAACTTTTTTTTGACTGCCAAGAAAGAAAGAGAGAGAAGATGAGATAGAAACAAACAAAAAAGGGAAAGAGAAGAGTGTAATTGAGAAATAACGGGCATTGGAAAGAAAAACTACGAAAGAGAAAGGGAGAGAGGAAAGAGAAATTGGGAGAGACAAAGACTAAAGTGTAAAGAGATATCCAAGTATCCCACATAGGTGGTTGTTGGGAATAAGGGGTAAAGTGAGTGTATAAAAGGGGATGGGTTTCAGTAAATTAAAATTAACTCTTCTTGGTTCAATCGAGCTTGAATTAAGATTAAAATTGAGCTTTAATCGAGTTCGAGTCTCAAACTATTGAATTTTTTTTGAGTTCGAGTCGAGTTTTAATAATTTATTTTGAGTTTGAGCTGAGCTTAATAATTTTTAGCTCGCGAGTTTTTGAGTCGAGTTGAGCTTACGTTTACAGTTTTCAAGTTTGAGTCGAGCTCAGTAATACTCGAGTTTGAGTTGAGCTCAGTAATACTCGAGTTTGAGTCGAGCTCAGTAATACTCGAGTTTGACTCGGCTCGTTTATACCCTAGCTGTCCCCAAACTGTCCCTGTACCATAAACGTATCGGGCACTTGAAACGGCCCTCCTTTTCCGTCCCCGTGCTTCTTAGTTTGTAAGATGCCAATGCTGCACAATGTGAATCTTAGTCATAACATTTATAATGGTTATGGCAGTCTTTCCAAGTGGCAAAGTCGTTGCTTTGGAAAAAACTCCATCGTTTGGAAGCTATCATGTATTATGCCAAAATTACGCATTAGTTTTTGCACTTTAATTTGATCACTTTAAGTTTCTATAATCTAAGTAGAATTCTATTGTCAGTCCTAATATTATACTTAAGTTTTTTTAAGGGATGTGTTGTATGTTATTATAGCATTCGAAACATACAAAAATAACAGCTATGATCAGGATCACATCAAAACCTTCCGAACCCTAAATAGAGGAAAAAGACTACCCCTAACCAAAACCAAAACGGAAACAAGTACAATCTAACGGTAATAAACCATAACTAAAGTTTTTCATACTAAAATATATAACTTCACCATCACAGCCAAGAAACACAAACTTTTCCAGATTGACCGACCCACTGTTGAACCTAAAACAAGCTGCACTGTTCATCATGTCTGTAAACGAGCAAAGCGCAACCAGCACAAGCAATAAACGATCACCCATTACCTACCAACACGGCCAGCGCCTCAACAACACAAATTGAATACGTTTAGGACTAAAATTCATCAAATTAGAGTATAGTGACTAAAACCACAATTTACACATAATATAGAGTCTAATGACAATTGTTTACCTTTTAACAAACTAGTTTATGGTAACTACAATTTTTATAGTTTTTATTAATGCAATGGTTATGAAAATAAATTTATTATTGTGCTGACATCTATTTTACATTAATTTTAATTATTATTAGTGTCAAAATTTGTCACGACAAAAAATAAAATTTACGTGGCAAATTACTTTATTGTTATAATAAATATCAAATAATAGTGATTACTTTATATGTCGTCACTATCATATCATTTCTCACAAAAAAAAAACAATCGGCGTCAATTCGTATATTTCGATAGTATCAAAATTTTAGTGATAACAAAATTTGTGTCACGATTATATATTTATAGTGAGAATTTAATTATGAAAAAATTAATCATCACAATTATTACTATAATTGTGTCAATATTCATTACTAGGATTATGAATATATATACTTAGTCTATTAACAACATAAATACTATCTGACCAATTATAGTTCATTAGGAACATGAGGTTATCAATTATCTTAGTATACTCAATATAGGAAGCATCACTTCCTTTATTTTTAAAGAGATATATGCTAGATTCATGAGGAGAAACTATCAATTTTCTTTAACATTTTCTCAATATAGTGTCACTCATTTAAAGAAAATCTCTTTCTAATTTTAGAAACTTTTACTCCTAAGATAAAAATTTGATAAATAATAAATTCTTAGTTTTGTAAATGAATTTAATGTTATTACTAAAAATTAACATGTCATCCACATACGAACTTATAATGACACAATTAAAATCAATCATTTGTTAATATATACATACATAAATACTATTAACAACAAAAATCAAAACTAAAACTAGTTTAATGAAATTTATCATACCAATGTTTTGTAGCTTGCTTAAGGTCATATAGAGATTTCTTGAGTCTATACGGTTTGTCTTCCATACTAGTAACCATAAATCATGTTGGTTGTTCTACTAGATATAAATTTATTTAGATGTGTTTATTGGGTGGTTCAGCATTGTCTTATCTTTGTTTTTTGTATTGACTTTTATCGTTTTAGTTCATAAAAAGATAAGTTCATGTTTACCTTGGACGTGAACTTCTAGGGTAAACTATTGAATTGATATTTTTCTTTTATACTTTAATATTTTTACTAACTAAATTAAAAAAAATGTCACTTACGTTATTAATTTATTAAATTTTGGTCATTTACATTGTTGATTGTTATATTTTGGTCATTGAGCCATTAACGCACGTTAGTTAGATAATATGGCACAATAGTTAAAAAGGGTTAATTTTTAACTTGACCATTGAACTTTAGATATAATTCTATTTTGACCTTGAACTTTAGAAAAATATCATTGACTACTAAACTTTAGATAAAATATCAATTTGACCATTGAATTTGATCAAAGTCTCCCATCATCGGCCGCCACTCATCACTGTCATCGTCGATCACCATTTGTCTTGATCACTATTGTCACCATTATAATTAATATTTATTCATTATTTTATTTTTTATTTTATTTTTTTTCCATTTGAAAGTCTTTTCTCTCCATTGGAAAATATTCAACTAAAATTTCTAGCCATTAATCATTCACTAGAAATCTCTTGCGTATATTATAGTACTCCACACAAGGCAACCATTTGTAGAAATATGATATTATCAGCACTCATGGCTAAGAAGATTGCAAGTAGATGAACCATCAATGTCTTGAAAATGAAGAAACTAATAGAAATCAAGGACACATCTACAAAGCAACCATTAAAATAGTTAAACTTAGGGTAAATTACGTGTTTAGCACTTAATCTATCAGTTTTAGTCCATATTAGTACATAAACAATCAACTTTTTCAAAACAAATTTAAAATGTGAGAGATGTAACCATCTAAAGACAATAATAACACAAGTGTTATAATATCATAATGATGATTATCGACAAACAAATAAACACAGTCGAAAAAGAAAAAACAAAGAACACCAAGATTTACGTGGAAAACCCAAAAGGAAAAAACCATGGGCAGAGGAAAAGAATTTCACTAATATGAAGGAATAAAATACAAGAGGATTTTGGTGAAAGAAAAACTTGATCTCTAACCCTTACACTTAGTATCTATTTATAGGGATAGATACTTGATGATAAAGGAAATCTAAATAAAGTAAAAATCTACGTTAATAAAGTTCTCTTCTTATATATTCAAACTAGGTTTCTTACTTTCCCAATTTTATATGTTAATTAATTTGTGCCACTTTGAATTTGAGTAAAACTCTAACAAATCTCCACCTTGACGCGAATTCTGAAAGTGCAATGGTTTTGAGACAAAACACTCAAATTCGATGTGACACCAAAACTCAACAAAACAATTCTTCACTTCAACAAACAAGTTCTTCACCTCTTCCGCAACACCCCTCAAATGAGTAATCTTCAATAACATACATCGACTGAATATAAGCATTTTCTAGGCTTGGATTTAGTCTTCACATTGACATGGTTATCATAAGTGTCAACTTTGCTCACAAATGTATCACAATGCACAAGTAATATCATGCACAACATGATCCCGATCATCAATCGTAGTTCTATATTCAAATTCTTTATGTTCACGAAATTGAACTCTTTTCTTCTTCACATAACTGTTATGCCCACATTTATCTTGTTCAACAATGTTATTTGACACGATGGATGAAACACCAACTGCATTATCTACAACTGTTAAACCCTATAGAACATAAAACTTGGTAGTCTTTCTCAACCTTTTCATCACAATAAGTGAGCCTTTGCAAATTTTCATAACTCCACATTCACTAGAGAAGTTGTACACTTTTGAATCTAGAATACCTAATGAAATTAAATTCCTACTCAAATTTGGAACATGTCTCACATTACCACGTGTTAAAACAATCCCATCGAACATTTTAATCTTGATTGTTCCAATACATACGACTTTATAAAGGACATTATTTCCAAAAAAAATACATCACCTTTAGATACAAATGTATTTGTCGCAAACCATTCACGTTTGAGACTCATATGAAAAATACTACCAGGGTCACCTTGTTATAAAGTTGTTCTCATCCTCAACTAGAAGTTCTCTGGCATCGTACTCCTTTACTACACTGACCTCACCAGATTTCCCAAAGTTATACTCTTTAGCTTCTCTTTTGTTTTTATTTTGTAACTTGTAACACTCCGATTTAACATGATCTTTCTTTTTACAAAAGTGACAAGTTTTACCTAAGATTTTGATCTACCCTTCCAATACTATCAGAAGAACACTCGCATTTTCTTCCACAGTTTGAGATAGTCGATTCATTCACCACGAGACCCTTTTGCCTTGAGCTCAGAACCAGATACATGATGCTTCATCTTGTCAAACAAGTGCAGGCCATTGTACACTTCTTCAAGAGTGAGTGTTTCACAACTGTACAATATTGTATCTCTC